TATTTGTTATAAGGTTTTGAGCCATTCTGACACTTGCTTGAAAGTATCAAGTAATTCAAGATGTCCAAATATCACTGCAAGACTAAATACACTTGCATCAGTCTTTATTTATTTATTTATTTACTTAAGAAAGATTTTTGCTATAGGGCACATGTGCTTTCTGGAGAGACAGAGGGAGACAGAGAGACAGAAAGCAAGAAATGACCTCCTAAAGGGGATGGCTATGCCGCAATCCCTTGTCCTACATTCTCCTCCTGGGATTTTTGGGGCACATACACATATGCACCCAGTGTGAGTTTTAAGCTGCCGGATCTGGGACTGGAACTGCATTCGACATAACTGGGAGCCCAGCGACATAACCATTATGCCATCCACAGGTTCCAGCATCGGCCTTTTAATTCTATTCTTTTTATGTTATTGGATTGTCAGAAAAGTCATAATGCATTTTTTTGCATAGAAAAAACATAGAAAAATATGTCATGACTTTTCTGACAACTCAATAGATAACTTTGGGAACTTTTCTTAAAACAGAGTTTTTATAAAGGAAAAGTTTTAGGGGAAGAGTTTGAAAGCTCTGCTAAGTATCTGCTGTCTTTGTATTCTGTCATCTAATTAAGTTATTTATGTCTTTTGGGTATAAAATTTGGCATGAGAGTTACAGATTTTATATGTGTGTGTGTGTGTGTGTGTGTGTGTGTGTGTGTGTAAATTATTCAACAAAAGGATTGGAAAATACTAGAATCAGTAGTAAACTTGGGGTAGAATTCTTGACAATGTCCATAGCCTAGTAGTTAAGGCAGTCGAATCTTATGTGAACAACCACATAGTTCAAGTACCAGACCCAGAGGCTTGCAAAACATACCAGGCATATGTGTGTGTGTGTGTATGTGTCCTAAAATCCTGAAAGGAGGGAGAGATTTAGAAGAGACTGCAGTATGGCCATTCCCCATGGGGAGTGCTTTCTCTCTCTCTCTCTCCCTTCCTCTCCTCCCTCCAGTGAGAACACACCATCTGGCATAGTAAAAAAAAAAATCTTGTCAAACTCTTTCACTATCTTTTGATTCTATGTACAACTTAAGATCAGCTTTGCTGTGACAAGATGTAGATGAAGCACCTACAATCAATAATTATGGGGGCATCTATGAAAAAAAGAAGATTGAGGGGAACCAGCAGTTAGCATAATGGCTATGCCGCTGAACTCCCATGTAGTCGACTGTGGTTCATGTCCTGGACCCAGTGGCCTAAACTCACGCCGGGCACGTATGCGTGCGTGCCCAAGATCCTGAGAGGAGAATGGAGGAGAAGGGATTGTGCCGTGGCCCTCCCCCCTGGGGGGTGACTTCTTGCTTCCTGTCTCTCTGTCTCTCTCTGTCTTTCTGGCCAGCGTATGTGCCCTATAGCAACAACCTCAAAAAACAAGCTTTGAGACAGGTAGTATATTTAGGGACAGTATGCAACGTAATTTCTCCTGTAATTTAGTTACATGCTATCTGAATTTCTGACAAGATTTGCAAAACCATCTTAGTTTAATTTACAAAGGTCACTTAGAAGTTAAGAGGTTTGGAGTAGAGGAGATAATAGAGGAAACAGTGATTCTAGATCAGTCCGTATTGATGCTTTTGGGAACTCTCCTTCACTTTCCACCCAAGATCATCTTCCTATCCTCATAAGGATGGAGGCAGACATGAACTAACATTTATTGTGTGCCTGGAACTGTCTTCATAGTCTCACGACCTATGAAGTAAATAAAATCAGCTTTAAGGAAGAAAGAGAGCTTCCAATATTACACAAATAAGTGATAGCAGTAGAATTGAAACCTAGATCTCTGGGACAAAATTCCAGGGTCTCTAGTTAGGGAAAGTGGTTCTAAGTCTTATTCCTCTATATTGATGCATTTCTATGAACCTTGGTAAGACATAAACCTCTTGGAACCAGCAGTTAGTGTAATGGCTATGTCACTGGACTCCCATGTAGTTGACAGCAGTTCGAGGTCCAGACCTAGTGGCCTAAACTCATGCCGGGCATGCGTGTGTGTGCGAGCCCAAGATCCTGAGAGGAGAATGGAGGAGGGTGATTTCTCACTTTCTGTCTCTCTGTCTCTCTCTGTCTTTCTGGTGAGCACATGCACCCTATAGCAAAAACCTCTCAAAAAAAAAAAAAAAAGATATCTACCACTCTGAGCTTTTTTTTAAAAAAATAATTATTTATTTAATTCCATTTATTATTATTATTATTTTAAAAATATGACCAGACAGAGACAAAGAGAGAAAGAGAAAGAGACAAAGCAAACTGCCAGGTCTAGGACTCAAACCGTGGTTGTCAATGTGGGAATCTAGCGCCTTTAACCACCACGTCACCTTCCAGTCCCATGAGCTGTGATTTTATCAGTAAGATCAGGTTAATAATGTCAACAGACACAGTTGCTATGAGATTGAACTGTAATAATGATCTATTTCAATAACTTAGCACAGAGCATTGTAGAAAGTTGCACCTCAACAAATAATCTCTCTTATGACCGTGACTGTTATTGCTCTTATTGCTGCTGAGATTATGACACCAGGATTTCTGAATGCAAAGCAGAATTTCATTCAGTCATCCTGCATAAATTAATGTCCTAGTATGAGCAGGTTGCTATTCTGAAGCTTTTTAGCTACCCATCATATAGTTATCTGGAAAGGGATTAAAATAATGTGAGGGGGCGCGGTGGCGCCCGCCCTATGGCAAAAATCTATGGAGGTTGGAGGATTGCGGCATCGAGGCCATATCTCTAAGGGAACCAGCAGTTAGCGTAATGGCTATGTCGCTGGACTCCCACGTAGTCGACCGCGGTTCGTGTCCCGGACCCGGTGGCTTAAAACTCACGCCGGGCACGTGTGCGTGCGTGCCCAAGATCCCAAGAGGAGAATGGAGGAGAAGGGATTGCGGCGTGACCATCCCCCCTGGGGGGTGATTTCTCGCTTTCTGTCTCTATGTCTCTCTCTGTCTGTCTGGCGAGCGCACATGCCCTACAGTGAAAATCTCTCAAAAAAAAAAAAAATGTGAGGGACTGGACCGTGGCACAGCAGTAAAATGCAGGAAATACATTGACACTGACCCAGGAAGGAAGGTTCCAGGTTCACATTAGAGAGCTCCCTGGGTATTCAGGGCACACATATGTCCAAAATCCAGGCATATGACTGAACCTTGAGGTGGATCACAGATTAAAGACCCTGTCAGGGGTGTGCTGTCTCTGTGTCTCTTACTTGTGGAAGAAATAAATAAAATGTTAATATGGACATGAATATGTAATGCTTTCTTTCTTTTTTCTTTTTTTAAGAGAGATTTTTTTACTATAGGGTATGTGTGCTTGCCAAAGAGACAGAGAGAAAAAGTGAAAAATCTCTCCCCAGAGAGGATGGCCATGCCACAATCCCTTCTTTTTCTTTCTCTTCTCAGGATTTGGGCATGCAAGCACACGTGCTTGACATGAGTTTCAAGCCACTGAGTCCAGGACTCAAACCATGCTCTGCCATGTAGGAGGCTGGCATCTTAACTACTATGCTACCTGCTGGCCCTGAATAGGTAATGCTTTAAAGGCCATTCAGGAAACTCTTCAGACTTGGGGCTAAGACCTTATTCCTTAAACTTTAGCCTATTTGCTGAATTCAGTTCAGAAATGCTCTGGGGACCTCCTTGGACTAAATTAAACCAAATATTGAATGCATGTGTATAAAAGGCTACAAAAATATCTGGAAATGTTGCTGGGGAGGCAAAGTCCAGCATTTCCAGTATAGGCCAATTTAAGAGTGGTTTAAGGAGCTCTTCCACACACTTGGCAAGCTTTGATCATCTGTTTGGGAGGCAGCACACTTGAATTGAAAACAAGCATTCCTGGGCCAGCAGATAGTGGCCCACATCACGGATGCCGTGGTTCGAATCCTGGACCTGGGAGTGTGTACATGCCCAAACTCTAGAGAAGAGAATAGAGGAGAAGGATTGTGGCATGGCCATCCCTTGGGGGATGAGTTCTCTCACTCTCTGCTTCTTTCTAGTGAGCACGTGCACCCTACAGCAAAAACAATCTTTAAAAAACGAACCGTGTCTGGGACCAGCAGTTAACGTAATGGCTATGTCGCTGGACTTCCACGTAGTCGACCGGCGTTTGCGTCCCGGACCCGGCGGCTTAAAACTCACGCTGGGCACATGTGCATGCATTCCCAAGATCCTGTGAGGAGAATGGAGGAGAAGGGATTGTGGTGTGGCCATCCCCCCTGGGGGGTGATTTCTCGCTTTCTGTCTCTCTGTCTCTGTCTGTCTGTCTGGCAAGCGCACGTGCCCTATAGCAAAAAGCTCTTCAAAAAAATAAATAAAAAAAAAAGAACCATGTCAGTATCTCATTTTTATCTCTTTTCTTTCTTTCTTCCTTTTTTTGTCTTTTCATAATAAGAATAATCCATTCCCATGGGCTCTAATTTCCTCCAACATAGTGGATAACTATCATTTTAGATAGAAACAACATGCTATCATAGATTCCAAAGAACTAGGAGGTAGACCTTTATATATGTCCCATTTCTATTTTAAAGACAGAAGTTCATTACATTTCTATAGACTTTTTGAGACTTCATTTTGCTACATGTGTTGTTCTGCCCCATCTGGACACAAACCTCTAGGGTACCAAAGAGTGCATCTTGACAGTAGCTGAGAAGGGGAAAAAGAAAAGGCATGCAAGGAGAGGGATAGTTCTTGCCTAGGAGGAAAAAAAAATGAGTATACTTTTCCCAATAAAAGAAAGTTAAAGTTGGCCATTGTCATCGTGTGATATTAACAACCAGCTCTTTTGGCAAGTTTGAAAATACTGGGCTCCATTGTAAAAGCTAAAAATGTCCTGGACCTGGAGTTGTTTACCCAGAGAGGGAGCCGCTCTAAAGTTACAGAGCTCTGGTTGGAAGAGGTGGCTTGAAGGCCGTCTCCAAGTAACTGACGTCACAGTAGTCTCAGCCGTTGCTGTGACTCTGAGCGAGCTGAGCAGCTTTTTGACCTGTGAAAGTGACGAAGGTTTCAAAGGGACTTGTCAGTGCCGCTCTGTGTAATGGCTGGACTTACTCTGCAGTCTGTTTTCTTGTGAAGAATCAGGACTCACCAAGCGGAGTGTTTTCCTTTAAGCCAACTAGATCTCCACTCTGCTTACTTGCATTGCTAGACTGACCAGTGGTGGAGCATCCACAGGATTTCTCCCCAGTGCACGAAGGTATGTTTCTTTCTGGCAACTTTGGAAGCAAGTGACTAATTATGGCAAGAGAAGCGAGGCTGCAGCAGATATGTTATGTTTTGAGCTCTTCCTATTGTTTAAGGGGAGGGTGATTTCAACATCTGCCTGTGCTGGTGTCTGTGTCTGGGATAAAGAACAGTGGGCGGGGTGCATAACGGATTACACCGACTCCCAGGGAAGAGGCTGTTCAGCTGCTGAGGGTCAATTTCCCAACTCTGGACTGACAGTGCCATCCACTTCCCGCAACTGTGCTTCTCAAATGCTGGCTTCCCAGGGGTGCAGAAAGCATGTTGTTCACCATGAGATTCCACTAAATAAATTTATTAGAGTGTGATTCTTGTTAGGATAAAGACTTTGGAACATTTTGCACGTTAAAGTTCACAACTCTTGAGATTACTGGTATCTCAAATGTAGTTTTATCCAAAATGATGGGGCATTTGTTACAGCATAAGTATTTCTGTAATTTGAGCTGAAATTGGTACCATTCATAACAGGGTCGTCTACAGTTAGGAGAGAACCTTACCACTCTATCTTCTGTTCAGGATGGTTAACCTTCGGCATTTGTTTATCTGAATGAACATTTCTTTCTAAGCTTATATTTTGAAAGTTAAGTAAAATCACTGAGCCTATAGCTTGGATGTTTTCCAGTTTGAATACGTAATTGGAGAAATATCCAGGAAGGAGAGGATAATGAGAACACAAAAAGATTTCTTCAAATTACACATTCTCGTGTCTCTTTGACCTTGTTGGAACACGAGGAACATGCTGAAGTAGCAATAAACAGCAGTAAAAGAATTTTTCTCTGTCCTGTAACAAAATCAAATTATTGTGGCCTTTGGGAAGATGCATTTGCAAGTGAATAGCAGGGGGAAATGATATCTGCTTATTAATTGAAGTTATGCAAGTAATTCATAGTAGTCTAGACAAAACCTAGAGAATTTTGGAGGCAAATGGTGCATCGCTCTGAGAGGCACAGGATGGGATTTTTTTTTCCCAATTTTTTATTTTTTTGGCCACGTGTAGTTGCCAGAGAGACAGAGAGAGGGAAAGTGAGAAATCACTTTCTACAGATCTTTTGAAACTAAACATTTTGCTACTTGTGTTGCTCTGCCCAATCTAGAAACTCTCGGGCACCAAAGAGTGTATTTTGACACTAGGTGAGGTGGGGAAAGAGAAATGCATGCAAGAAGGGATGGAACACCACAATCCCTTCTCCTACATTTTACTCTCTGGATTTTGAGCAAGCACACACACATGTTTTTGAAGTCACCGGGTAGAGGACTCCAACTTCAGAGTCTGCCATGTGTGATCCAGTGCCTTATCCACCATTTCACCTGCTGGCAATCACTTTCTACAGATCTTTTGAAACTAAACATTTTGCTACTTGTGTTGCTCTGCCCAATCTAGAGACAAACCTCTAGGGCACCAAAGAGTGTATTTTGACACTAGGTGAGAAGGGGAAAGAGAAATGCATGCAAGAAGGGATGGAACACCACAATCCCTTCTCCTACATTTTACTCTCTGGATTTTGAGCAAGCACACACACATGTTTTTGAAGTCACCGGGTAGAGGACTCCAACTTCAGAGTCTGCCATGTGTGATCCAGTGCCTTATCCACCATTTCACCTGCTGGCCCAAAGCATGGGAATTTTTAATCTCCAGAAGCAAAGCTTCTGCAAAAATGGTAAGACTGGTAGTACCTACTGTCCATAACATTCCTATTAGAATATGTAACCTCTTACAAATGAAAAATTTTTAGTTATATGAATACTTCTATGTTTAGGGGGAAAAAAATAGGAGCCCAAAGAACAAATATTCTCAACAAAAATCTCAAAAGACAAAAGTAGCTATGAAGTAACCTCTCCTAACACACTGTTCAGTGTGTTTGGCTAAATTCCAGTGGCCCCTGGGCAAGATGGACATCGAAATGGTACTGAGCATAATGCAGTAAGAATGGAGTACCCTTCAGACAAAGAAGCATTCCTGTGATCACACTGAGGCTAATTTAGGGTATAAAATAACCTGTCGTGAGACGCTGGGTGTTACCCATTTTTTTATGTTTTGTATTTTTTCATTTTATTTTTTAATACATTTAATTACTATATACTACAGCATGCACAATGAATTTTTCCAGGATGAATACACTGTATATTAGCCGAGTCAAAGATGTTATCATACATCTTATCCTCAACAGATAATCCCCCGCCCCACATTACTCTTAAATGTTGCTTATTGGTAGGGCCAGAAGGTTACAACTATTAATATTTTTCTCCTACCATCCATAGACAACCTACTCATGACTGTATAATTTTGGTTTCCAGTTTGGGGGAAAGGAAAGTTAGTGAAAAGTGATTTTGTAATGCTAGTTTAGCATTGTCGAGGGAAGAACACGTGTGTGACTACATAATGCAGTTCACTCTCTCTTTGTACATTTGCTCTAATAATCTTTCGTTTTCTGAATGAGATTTTGAAAAGGATGAAATGAAACAGAGAGCTGAAGCGATATGGGGGAGGGGTGTGCAGATAGCAGAAATCCTTCTTTCTCCCACATAGATGCCAATTTCTGTGGGAGAAAAAGAGTGACAGCTAGACACAAAGAGAACTTTTATATTTGCCTCAGTAGAGAGCACTGAAATTGAGTTTTTTAAATCTGCTGGGCCCCTTTACCCCATAACTTATTACAGGACATTCTGTCCCTACCAACTTGTCCTGTTAGTTTGATTTGTTTTTCAACACAGAACAAAGTAGTTTTATATAAAACGTATACAAATTTTCACATAAAAGTTTTTTTCCTACACATTTAACTTGACACATAGCCTCAAGATACTTGAAAAATACTGAAGGTAAAAGGAAATCATGAAGGGACACGAGAGTTCACACAAATAGGCAGGCTCCTATCAATTTTTTAATTAAATAAAAATAATTATTAGGGACCAGCAGATGGTGAAATTATTCCATTGCTGGACTCCCACATAGTCAACTGCAGTTGACTGGACCTGGTGGCTTAAAACTTAGGCCGGGCGTGTGCATGTCATGTCGGAGATCCCCAGAGGATAATGGAGGAGAAGGGATTGCCGTGTGGCCATCCCCCTGGGGGATGATTTCTCACTTTCTGTCTGTCCCTCTGGTGAGAGCATGCACCCTAGAGCAAAATTCTCTCTAAAAAACTAACTAAATAAAAATAAAATAAAAATAATTATTTAACATAGAGAGAGATAGAAAAATGAAAGGAGTCAGAGAAAGAGGGAGGGAAGAGAAGAAAAAAGAGGGAAAAGACAGAAAGAAGAAACCAAGAACAAGCATTTATTAAGCATTCACTATTATCTCAGTGCTTAGACACTTTCATTAAGCATTCTCCCTTCATTCACTTAGTCCACAAAATAATTCTGTGACTCCCACTTTATTTTTGAAGGAAGAAGCTATACAATCAGGCCTACTCCATTTGATGTTTATATTTACAAGACAGAGATGCTAAGAAGGCTAAATCCTCTCACAAAAATTGGCACAGATATTGCTCTATAGAAATTTCCTTGCAAAGGCTTGTGTTTGATCCATAACCATTACATTTCCTGGCACCGGGAAATGCTCTGGCCCTGGAAAGGGGAAGCTCTATAGATTGGCCCTTGTCCATATTAAGTGATGAGTTTGGCTCTTTGCAAATCAGTGTAGGATTCAGACTGCTTTAGGGCTGTTACCAGGGTCCATGAAGGAGCAGGACTGATTTAGAGTATTCCTGAATGATCTTCTAGTAGGCAGAAAAGAGAAGAATCTGGCATCTTCTAAATTCTGAAGGTGGAAGTGATTCAAGAGGAGTTATGAATAGAAAGAAAAATTTGAGTCAGTTGGTACATAATTATAGGGAAAACTTCATGATAATGATTTCTCTACATTTCCAGTGTTTAAGACAGTTTAGAAAAAACATGAAACATAGTACCTCTTTTCCTGGTGGTTTGAAATTAGTCTGCTCCCTGTGTATGACTACTCTAATTAAACTTGCAACTATCTCTTGATGTCTTAAACCACTTCACTTTTCCAAAGAAGTTCCAAAGATAAATACTTTCAGGTGAGCAAGACAGTTTTAGTTTAACCACATGCACACACATGCATGTGTATGCGCACTCACACACTGAATGTATATACATATAACATATAAAGATGATTTTTGTGAGCTGGTTTAGGATTAACATTAAATACATTTTAAGGTTGTCCACCTCCAAATAATATTATTACTACTTCTCAAATAATATTACTACTACTTCTCAAATAATATAAAGATATTACAGTATATAGTCAGCCCTTCCTATCCCTGGGGTCCACATTGACAAATTCAACCAACCTCTGTTTGCAAAGGTTACCTGGCTGCTGACATGTACTGTGTAGTTAGGCCTATGATGGTTGATAGTTGCATCTATACTGAACATGTACATGCTTTTTATTCTTGTCATTATTCCCTAAGCAGTAGAGTAAAACAACTATTAACATTTGCATAATATTTACATTGTATTAGGTATTATAAGTAATCTAAAGATGATTTAAAGTATACTGGAGGACATGGATAGATTATATGGAAATATTACATCATTTTATACAAGGGAATTGAACATTTTATGGATTTTGATATTGGGGGCCCTAGAACCAATCCCTTCGGATACTCATGGATGACTTGCTCCCCACTGGATACTCATGGATGACTTGTTTTAAAGCAGTCTGCCAGTCTCAAGCACTGTCTGCATTTCTTGTGAATATTTATTAGATGAACCTACAATATGGCTAGGTTATCAAGATCAATTATAGATTCACTGAAACAAAGAAAAAGCAAAACTCTGTATATGCTTTATTATCTTCATTGTATCAAGTCCTCACTGACATTGATTATGGCACGAACTGTGGTTATGGGCTTCTACATGTGGAAGAAAGCACAAAAAGGGGGGGGCAGCAGGTGGCTTGAAAGTTAAGGTGCTGGATCCCCTATGACTGACTGCACGATTTGAGTCCCAGATTGGGTGGCTTGAGGGCACACTGGCTTGTGTGTGTGTGTGTGTGTGTGTGCCCAAAATTCTGACAGGAAAATAGAGGAAAAGGGATTGCAGCATGGCCATTGCCCCGGGAGGTGATTTCCTACTTTAACTCTGTCTGTTTCTCTCTGGCAAGTTGGCAAGTGCATGTGCATGAATCCTATGGCAAAACAAAAACAAAAACAAAAACAAAACAAAACAAACAGAAAAGAGAGATTACTGGAGGATGGAAAATAAGGTTAGAAATAGAATGTAACTAAGTAGGTAAAAATGAGACATGATAACATCTTTATTAGTTAACTTTTTTTTTTTTTGAAGAGGTTTTTGCTATGGGGTGCCTGCACTTGCCAGAAAGACAGAGGCAGAGAGACAGACAGTGAGAAATCATCCCCCAGAGGGATGGCCACACTGCAATCCCTTCTTCTCCATTCTCTCAGGATCTTGGGCACACACACACGCACGCACACACACACACACGCACACACACACACACACACACACACACACACACACTCCATGTGAGTTTAAGCCCTCAGGTCCGGAACTCGAGCCGTGGTTGACTACATGGGAGTCCAGTGACATAGCCATTATGCCATCTGCTAGTCCCTTTATTAGTTCATTCTAAAATTCATTAGTTGTCTTGACTGAATTAATCATAGAAATAAATAAAAATTATCACGATATCTTTACCAAATAATTTTAAAAGAAGAGTAACAATATAGATCCCCACATTTATAGGGTGTTTTTGAAAGTGGAGCCCTGCATCTACATATAGCTAATGTTTTTTCTCCTCATTAGTCTTTTATAATCAATTGATATTTTAGAGCTCAAAAATATATGTTCAGAACTGTTTATTGTTCTGATATGTATTTCTCAGAAGAGTCTGCCAAAGTAAAATTAGTCTTTGATGTTTATCTTATATTTAGCATATGAAATATACAGACATCTTCTGTGAATAAAAAGTTGGCACTTGTAGTCTGGTTAATTCTACAATGCCTGCTTTTGACCTTTGAGAACTTTGTCTATAATTAGCGTAAGCCTAAGGGTAAGTTAAGATATTTTGGTAATGGCCTAGTAAACAGACTTCTTATAGACATACGTGTCTTAAAACACTCATGTAAACGTTTTAAACATGGTTTTCTACCCTCTGAAGAAGGTATATGACTTTTTAAATACAGGCTTCTTTCTTTCTCTCTCTCTCTCTCTCTTTCCTTCCTTCCTTCCTTCCTTCCTTTCTTCCTTTCTTTCTTTTTTTTTCTTTTTTCCCCTTAGGTTTTTGTCATAGGGTGCAGTCCTTGCTGAAGAGAGACAGAGGGAAAGTGAGAAATCATCCCCTGGGGGATAACCATGCCACAATCCCTTCTCCTCCATTTTTCTCTTGGGATTTTGGGCATGAATGCACACATACCTGGTGTGATTTTCAAGCTACCAGATCTGGGGATCCAATCGCAGTCAATCGTGTGAGAATCAAGTGCTTTAACCACCATGCCATCTGTCACCTCTAAAAATTATTTTCAATTGAAGTCAAAGCAAAATTTTGTAAAGCAAAAATTAAGAAAAAAAAATTCTCAAACTAGTTTTCATACAATATGTTATTGAATATTTATAAAAGTCTGTGAACATCCCCAGGTTAATAAACTAAATCTCAGAAAATTTAGGTAACATAACAGAGTTACATGTCTAGTATCTTTAATTGACTCTTCGAATCCTACTACACATGCTCTGAATGCCAGAAATCTAATTGTTTCAGTCACTACTTTATGTTAACAGAGGACTTAGCAAACTAAGCAAAATCTTTTCAGTTCTCTGAATTCAATGTCCTAAACAAGTTATGGTATGTAGTATATTAGAAGGAAAATAAAGCATGGATAAATTTAACGTGTTTCTTCACAGCATCTTGATGCTTTTAAAACTTTATTGGATGAAGTAAAATGATGAGTTTATTTTTATCATTTCGGTTGCTTTCTGGCCGGTATGTCAGCCTCAAATTGACTGCCAACGTTAGGGTCTTAGTTGATAAAGCAATCACATTTAGCATGGGGTTGGTCTCTGAATGCAGAATTGCAACTATAGTCTAACACGGGCTCAGGACTTAAGTCACAGAACTTTATTAGCAGATTGCATCAGGATAGAAAGAATAATTCTGTTATAGCAGAGTCTGCCACAATTGTGTAGATGTGACCATACAGCTGAATTTCGTATTTCCATACTTAGATATTCACGAAAATCCTATTTTTAGAGTTAGTTAAAGGAGTATTTATATTTCACATGTACATTTCGCCATCTTATCCATATAATTTCTCTGTCTGGTCTTTGAAAGGGGAAAACAAAAACATTACTTACTGCTTTATTGACTGTTAGTTTCTTCATTTCTTTGATCTCTTCTTTTGAGTCTAGTTTTTCTATAGTTTATGTCGATGTCTCTTGACAAAATGATAGAATATGTTTCCAGAAAGCACATGGATTTGGAATTCTCTCTTGTTATGTTTATATTAGGCTTTATTTTCAAGGCAAGTGAGATTGCTTCAAATAAAATAACTTTGAGCTTCCAAGAAACAGTTAAGAGAAGGCAGAGACAAGCAGAAACACTTCTTTGCTGACACTCACACGGTTGCCATGGACCTACAAAAGCAGTGGGAGAACACAGAGACTAACTGGCACAAGGAAAAGATGGAACTACTGGACCAGTTTGACAATGAAAGAAAGGAATGGGAAAGTCAATGGAAGATCATGCAAAAGAAGATAGAAGAGGTATGAGTTGAGTTGTTTCGGATATATTATAGACTTCAAACTCAGAATGGAATTTTTGTTGAAGTTTGTTTATATTGGAAACTGCAATCATGGGCCACTTAATAACAGGGATACATTCTTACAAATGTGTGGTAGGCAATTTCATCATTGTGCAAACATCAGAGTGTGTACTTACACAAACCTAGATGGGACAGCCTGCTGCTCACTGAGGTTGGAGAGCATAATTATATAGGACCACCATCATATATACTGTCTGTCATCATGCAGCACATGGCTGTATTTTTATTTTCCTTATTCCACCTAAGAAATGCATGTCTTAGTGACATTTACTAGACCCAAATTAAGAACTATGCTCAGTCTATAACCTCATGTGAAAACTAAACACTTGAAATTTCACCCTAAAAATGCAGTGATCGGGACCAGCAGTTAGTGTACTGGCTATGTCACTGGACTCCCATGAAATCGACCATGGTTTGAGTCCCAGACCTGGTGGCTTAAACTCACATCAGGCATGTGTGCATGCATGCCCAAGATCCTGAGAGGAGAATGGAGGAGAAGGGATTGTGGTGTGGCCATCCCCCCTGGAGGGTGATTTCTCGCTTTCTGTCTCTCTCTGTCTGTCTGGTGAGTGCACACACCCTGTAGCAAAAAAACTCAATAAATAAATAAATAAATAAACAAACAAACAAACAAGCACCAATCTGTTATTTCCTGGCTAGAGAGCCTTAGTATCAAAAGTCAGGTATGTATTTTTTATGAGTTTTCAAATACCAGGACCCAGGGCCTAGGAGGAAAATAGAAAAAAAAATATTATTGGTATGACATATATTAGCAAAATTACAATTGGGCATTAGAATATAGATCTTTCTTTCCTGAGATGATTTATGAATAATGTCTACTAAAGGAAATTATATGTTAGATGACTCAGTATTAATCCAAAGTCATGTCATGTATCTAACAGAAAATGGCAGTGCACATGACATTTATTCTTGCATAGAGTGCCACATTTGTTAGGACGGAGGTTATGATGTCATGACTGTGACACAATAGCCATTTTATTTCCATTAACCAACCTTCAGCCTATTGGGCCTAAAATATTTTTTTCAAGTGTTTGCATTGGTGTCCATTCAAGCTTCCTCCAAGTGGAAATCATTTATACTTATCTTGCTTTCTTCTGGTATCACCCATTGTATACTTACACGGTTTTATGCATATTCTTTTTTTTATTCCTTTTTTTTTTTTAAGAGGTTTTCACTATTGGGTGCGTGTGTTTGCCAGAAAGACAGAGAGAGACAGAGAGACAGAAAGCAAGAAATCACCCCCCCAGGGAGGATGGCCAAGCTGCAGTCCCTTTTCCTCCATTCTCCTCTCGGGATTTTGGGCACACATGCACATGCACCCAGCGTGAGTTTAAGCCACTGGGTCCAGGACTCGAGCCACGGTCGACTACATGGGAGTCCAGTGACAGCCATTACGCTAATTGTTGGTCCCTCTGCATATTCTCAAAGCAGTTATTTTAACAGACTCTTTGGTCTTTATTTGCAGGCAATCAAAGTAAGTGCTTTATGTGCTTATGGTACAAACATTGCTCTTATTAACAGTCATGTAATTGGCTATAAATAAAATAAAATTGACATGGTAAAAGGAAAAATAAAGAACAGTAGCTATCAAATCCTTCCTTCCTCCCTCCCTCCCTTCCTTCCTTCCTTCCTTCCTTCCTTCCTTCCTTCCTTCCTTCCATCCTCTAGAACAGCTGGCTGAAAAAGCAGGCATGGCGTATATGATTAGAAATTGAAAGCAGAATCTCCTTGTCATTCCTCTTTAGTTTGAAAATGTGTTCTGTTTACTCACTTAACTTCTTTAGCTGGAAATTCCTATTGGATCAACAGGGAGATAGTTAGGTCAAATCAATTAGAAACTTCGATTTGGGGCCAGTCAGTTGGCTTAGTGATTAAGGCAGCTAGATGTCACATGGCCGACTGCATGGTTTGAATCCTGGACCTGAGAAACGTACCAAAAATATGTGCATGTGTGCCAAAAATCCCAAGGAGAAGAAGAGAAGGGATTGTGGTGTGGTCATCCTACCTGAGGAGTGCTTTCTCACTTTCTCTCTCTTTCTGTGTCTCTTTTTCTCTAGTGAGCACATGTGCCCTATAGCCAAAAAAAAAAAACTATTAGGAACTGCTCTATAGTCATGGGTCTTTGGCTGGCAAAGATGGGGAGGTTCAGTTAGTAACAGTCTCAGATGATTCTAGTATCCAAGCAACATCCAGCAAAACAAGTTAAGAAGCGGAGTTGGTCTACCCAGTTGTTTAAGCCGTATAACTGAAACAGTTCGCCCTCTGGTAAAATCTTCTGACAGCTCTATAAGTTCCATCTATGATAAATATTAGCCTAATAAGGCTAGATAACAGGCAGTAACCATACTTTAAACATAGGATTACAGTTCATAGTCTTTTCCAAGGTTTAAGCCTAATGAGATCAGATTTTTCCTTTATTTAGGAGTGAACTGAGTACATATCTACAGATTTAACTAGGTCTCTCAAGAAATAATTTTTGGGAACCAGCAGTTAGCGTAATGGCTATGTCGCTGGACTCCCACGTAGTCGACCGCAGTTCGCGTCCCGGACCTAGTGGCTTAAACCTCATGCCTGGTGCATGTGCGTGCATGCCCAAGATCCCGAGAGGAGAATGGAGGAGAAGGGATTGCGGCGTAACCATCCCCCCTGGGGGGGTGATTTCTCGCTTTCTGTCCCTATGTCTCTGTCTGTCTGGCGAGCGCACGCACCCTATTGCGAAAACCTCTCCAAAGGAAAAAAAAAAGAAAGAAAGAATTTTGGAGTTCACTTTAACACAGACTAGTAAATGATCAAAGACTTAGAATTCTATTATATAACATAAGGCATTGCCACATCTGTTTTAATCTGGATAAGAAACTCTTATAGAATGTGTTTAGCTTTGGCTTTAAAAACATTTCAGTAATGTCTAAGCCCTCACCAACATAACTGACCACTTTTGATTGACAAATGTCTGGTTAAGGAACTTACATATGAGATTGTCAGCTATTGAGACGGTTAAATGTGAGTAGATCATACATTTTAAAAACCTGACTTTCATGTTAAACGCTTTCTTCTTTATAAAAGCAGTTGGAGTGCATTAGTTCATTAGCCATTAGTTCATTCAGATCATTTCAATTTTGTAACAGTACTTCTAGATCTATATGCATATAGGTATAGGTTTATTTATTTATTTATTATTGAATGACTTTATTTCTAGACAGAAAAATAGAATTTAGTGTCCATGCATTGACCTACTAAAAGTAATCATTATGGTTCATCAAAGTTGTTCCAGCTAATTCATATATTAGAGGCACAGTTTGGAGGTATAAGCATTGATTCTCAAAATGGTGTGTTTAGTATCAAGACTATTGGCAAAGTGAATTAGGAAAACAAATTTTTTTTTTTTTATAGCTTTGTCAGGAAGTAAAGCTTCGGAGGAAGATCAATATGAGTGAACGTACTAAGATCATGGGTCTTGATCATGAGGAGGCCATTCAGGACAAAATGGTGGAATCTTCTCCAAATTACCCCAATTCAGGACAATGTGAATTTACTGGGATGAATCACAGGGACAGTTTGAAAAAAGAAAATAAAACAGAGCAGAGCTTACTTGACAAAGGAAATCAAGTGTGTAAGGAACAAAAAGTAACAAAAAAATCGAAAGTAGGATTTCTAGATCCTTTGGCAAGAGACAGTCAGAAGGAATGTGAGGCCTGGCCTGACCTGAGGACTTCTGAGGAGAAGACCAGGAGCTGTTCTGGCGCCCTCAACACGGTAAGTATGATGTGATTGGCCAAGAACTTTTTCTAAAGAAATATTTACATTTCAAAGTGCTAACATGTATTGCTTATATGTATAAAGGCACTTGAAGAACTTGCCAAAGTCAGTGAAGAGTTATGCAGCTTTCAAGAAGAAATTCGACAGCGGTCTAACCACAGAAGGTAGGCTTGCACACCTACCATGGTTGTTTCATGTTGGAGAATCAAAAAAAGTATTGTTTTTAGTTAATAAATCCAAACTGTCTCCTCTTTACATTTTGATAATGAGAATTATTTTTTCGGGGGGGGGGAGAGGGTTTTTTTTTGTTTTTGTTTTTGTTTTGGAGAGGGTTTTCGC